CACACACACACACACACACACACACACACACACACACAGTATTTTCATGCTCTTCACTTCCTATTACCATCGCCATCCCCCTTTCTGTTTTCCCTCCTCCGGATTCCTCCTATGTTCCCCTTTTACATGTATGTCTCATTATCATCATTATCATCATCATCATTATTATTATTATTATCATCATCATCATCATCATCATCACTTCAGGTCTAGATTTTCATTTGTGCAAAATCATGTGATATTTGGCTTTTTGAGCTTGGTTTATTTCACTCAGCAAGATGATTTCTAGTTCTATCCATTTTCCTGTAAATGTCATAATTTCATTGTTCTTTATAACTGAATAGTAAATACATCTCTCTATCTATTAGCCATCTATATCACATTTTCCTTATTCATTAAGTAGTTGCTGGGAACCTGGTTGATTCTACAATTTGTTTATTTTGAATAGTGCTGCAATAAAACACAGGTGACCAGGGCTTACTTTGTATGTCAATTTATACTCTTTCCAATATATGTCCATGAGTGTCATAGCAGGGTCAAAAGGAAGGTATATTTTTGTGCTTTTTAATGAATCTCTATATTAATTCCATAGTAGTGGCAGTAGCTTCCATTCCTGCCAAAAGTGTAGGAGTGTTCCTTTTTCCTCATATTCTTACCAACACATTTTTGTTCTTTATTATCTTGGTGAGTACCATTTTGATCATGGTGAGATGGAATCTCAGTGTAGTTTTCACTTGCATTTTTTTTATGGTGAAGGGAGTTGCTGACATTGAACATTTCTCCAAGTATCTTAAAGCCATTTTTACTTCTTTTAAAAACTATTCCTTTATTACCCAAATTATCTGTTATTTTGGTGTTTTTATTTTTTTGAAAAAGCTATTATTCTAAAATACATTAGTATACTATTTTTCACAATCATAAAATTATTTACTCAAAATGTTTCCTCCATTCTTTATAAAATAAAGTAATAATATCAAGCCAAGGAAATAGAGGAAATCAACTTATAATGTGATTGGGGATTAAAAACAGTGTGAAATGTACACTTACCAGTTCCACAAAAGCAAGTCCTCCATAGCTGTGAGCAACAAAAAATACATTCTCAGCTGCAGACTGGGCTATGAAATGGTCCCAAACATAGATTGCATGTTCTTCAGGAGAACCATTTTCCTAAAAAAAATTATATATGACATACTATATCTAATTATTATCATAACAACCAACAGTTAAATTATATATTAACTTTATACAATAAGATTGTTAGAATGAAGTCAAAGCAATATTGATACAAAGAACTATACTGAGACATTGAGAATAAATTAGTATTAAAACTATTAGCAAATTACTGCTAGGCTTAATTTCTACCATAATCACCTGAAATAAATTATTTAAAATGAACATTTTTTAAACACAAATAATCTAGATATAACTGAGATTGTAAAAATACTTATGCTCAAGGTGCTCATGGTGGCTCATGCTTATAATCTTATCTACTTAGAAGGCTGAGATCTGAAAATTGGAACCAGGCTGGGGAAACAAATCTGCAAGACTCTTATTTCCAAATAAGTATCAAAAAGCTGGAAATGAGATATGTCTCAAACATAGAGGGCCAGTGAGTCCCTGACTTCAAGTCCCAGTACTAGAGGTTGAAAAAAGCAATCTACTCCCTGATATTTATCACATGTATACGATATATATCACATATATGATATATACCATATACACAAATTATATGGTACATATAAGATATATATGGTATCTATCTGTAAATATAGATATCTTATCTATAGATATATTATCTATCTATAAACATAGATAGATCAGATACATCTCCCAGGGGTTTTTATATTTCTCCTAACATGCTAAATCTTAATACATATTAAATTCAGAAAGTTTTATGATAATTTTATTGTTCTTTGTGTGCGTGTGTGTGTTTATGTGTATGTGTGAGAAAGAGAGACAGAGAGATAGAGAGAGAGGGGTGAGAGAGTGTGTCTGTGTTCTGGGGACTTGAACTCAGAACACAGAACTCTTGGCTTCAAGAAGTTGATGATCTAACAATTAATTAACATAAAGATCCTTCAGTGTAGATTACTACATGTACAAAAAGCATGTACAAGATACTGAAAAAGAACATTATCTATCCTTGAGGATGATACTACTTCTGAGAGGAGGTGATACCTCCTTTAATATTGAAGACAAATAAGAATTGTAGAGATGAAGGTAGAGGGTGAAATGAGAGCAGATTCGAGGATCATTTTCAATCTAAGGAAACAGAACATAGGCAAGAAAAGTATGACCATGTTCACTGCAGCACTATTCATGAGAACCAAAAAGGTATGAATCAGTCCAGATGTCACTGGATGGACAAATGGATCAAGAAAATTAGTACATATACAAAAGGAAATTTCACTCATCCATTAGATAGAATGATATTGTGCCATTTGTAAAGAAATGGAAAGACCTGGAAAAACATTATGTTAAGTGAAGTCAGGCTCAGAGAGGCAAAACATGTACATTTCCCTTATATGTGGAAAATAGATTTAGCTTATAAACCTATAGGTAGATACATTGGATGGTATGTAAGTGTATGAAAATGAATTGGCTGAATTACTGTAGATTCAAGAAAACTCAAATAGTGTAATTCCTTAGAAAGGCAAAGTTTGGCAAAATAAAACAGTAGGAAGCGGGTACTCAAAAGGAGTGGGTTGGGTCAAAAATAAAGTGGTAAATTAATGAAGAGAGGGAGAATGCGGTCAATAATGTGCATATGACTATATAAAATGATGCTTTTCAAAATGAATTCCAAAAAAAATGCCCACAAAGAAAGAAAAAAGAACTGCAACAAGTACACACAAAAAATACAAAAAAACTAAACCAAAACAAAAAACTCTTGTTCCATGAATTCCAAAAAAACAAAAACCCAAAAAACAAAACACAGGAAAGAAAGAAAGAAAAAAGAAAGAACTGCAACAAGTACACACAAAAAATACAAAAAAAACAAACCAAACCAAAAAACACTCTTGTTCCATGAATTCCAAAAAAACAAAAACCCAAAAAACAAAGGAAAGAAGAAAGAAAAAAGAAAGAACTGCAACAAGTACACACACACACACACACACACACACACACACACACACACATACACACACACACAAAACCCACTCTTGTTCCTTGGAATTCATTAACTAAAGTTTCAAGTCTCATGCAAAACTGTACATCATTTTACTAGCCCCCAACAGTCTCTGTCTCTCTTTCTCTCTCTTACCCACCCACCCACACACAAGCTTAAAAATATTTAAAAGGCTGGGCACCAGTAGGTCCTGCCTGTAATCCTAGCTACTCAGGAAGCTGAGATCTGAGGATCAAGGTTTCAAGCCAGCCCAGGCAGGAAAGTCCTTTAAATTCTTATCTCCAATTAATCACAGAAAAAGCTGGAAGTGGTGGTGTAGTTCAAATGGTAGAGTGCTAACCTTGAGCAAAAGGAGCTTAGGGACAGTGACCAGGCCGAGTTCAAGCCTGGGACTCATTAAAAAAATCAAAAGAAGGAAGCAAAATTACTTAAAAGCAACTGTGCTGCCTATAAATGGTTTGATTATTAGTGTTTTCTATCTTTACCTTCATTTAAATTTTCTAAACTGTCCAACATTTCTACAAAGTACATGTGTAAAATATAAACGTAAATAACAGTCCCAAAGTCAGAAATACTACTTTGCAGTAATGCATAGTTTCTTAGTATCCAACAAAGGTCATTATACATTCTTAGCTAAACAATTCCAGTATCTGGTGTGAGTCAACTGCACATTTACTAGCAACAAGTGAAAATAATTATTTCAAATAGGTCTAAGAGTAAGAAGTTACATTTGAGAGCTTGATGGCAAGAACACAAATAAAATGTACATGTATTAGAAAAGCCCATCTAGTACACTAGTCGGAGATTACTCATGTTGCCTCTAAGCAAGCTGAGGGCAGCACAGTATGCATAGCAGCATAATTATCAGCAGCACTGGTCCTCAATCATCTAAAGAAGGTAATTTGTACTATGTGAACTCCACTTTTGAGAGACTAGTAACAGAAATTAAGAAATAGTTCCTATTCAAAATATTATATTAAAAATAAGATATGGAGATAAGCATTAGACACATATAAAAAATTGGTTTCTCTTATGGCTACTTCTTAAGGCTTTTCAAATTAAGGCTTTTTGGGGGATGGGATATAGCTCAGTTGCAATGTTCTTGGTTTGATCGCCAGTACCAAAAAAGAAAAGACAAAAAAAAGAAAAAAGAAAAGTAAAAATTTAAGGTTTTTAGTATTTACAATGTTTAGAGGGACTTAACCCCACCCACCTTAGAATTTAATAAATTCTGCCAATGTTAGTAAACTTCCACAACAGTAAAAAGTAGAACATACAGTAGTTTTAATTATATGTAAAGAAGGTGATGCCATGAAGCAACTTAATGCCATTCCAATCTGCAGACCATAATATGTCCACAGGCATTACATATTTATGAGTCATAATCCAGATAGTATATTACCAATGGTGTATTTTGAGGCTAAAAAGATTTCAACAGGAAAGATTTTCTAATTCACTTCAATTACAGAAATGTAAACACACTAAATCTACTCTACCGGATTCCAGTTGAATTTCAAATTAGAATGCATTCTGTATTATTTTAGAAAATGCAAATATATGAAGTGTATGAAAAGAAGAGTGAACTTATTAATTAGACTTTGCTGGTGGGAGAATGTGTAGGGTATTTCTATTGTGGAATTCTGTAGTATGCAGAGAACAGGTTGAATTTTGTGTACACTTACCTTCATTAATCGTTAAATGCTAAACAGAAGTGATGCAGAAACCAAAGCCTTATCGGCTACACCAGATTCTACTACCTAGGCACTGCAAGGTCTGCATTTATGATGGACTACCTGAGCTGATAACACATGGAATTATCTAAACAACATTTGCATATTTGTGTAATTATTTTCTAAGGTTAATTAGCTCCTGTAATGCATTTCGCCCTTTGAGACTACTTACAGTGACAGGTTCACATATTTTCTGAACCACTGCCAAATTTGACAGATTTTTTTTCAGCTAACCTGTTGCTAAAAGTTACAAAAATAAGTTATAATATACATTAATTTATTTAGAAAAATTACACTGAATTTTATAGTGTCTAATATTAAAGTTAAAATATTAAAGTGATTTTTACTTCACATACATTTTATTTACATTGTTAAGCATATCTATTATTAAAATTTCAATATATAAAATAATATGTTACATTTTGACTTTAAACCATCAAATATCTGATACTAATTTCAATTATGTCACATGATACATAAATATGCACATATATGTACACACACACAGATGTACATACACACTCCACACACTACCGGCTGACCTTAACACTGTCCTTGATTTCTCATTTCTCCTTGAGATAGCAATGACAGAAGAAGCAATAATACAAAATAAATGCTTGTTTAATGACAAAATTTACAAATGAGATTATTTCTTCTAAAAAGCTGAGATTTTACAAAAGAAAAAGTATGGTTAAATACAAATCTGAATGCAAAGCAGATCCTTAAGTCATATGAATTTATAAGGATGGAAAAAATGCATTATCTAATTATTTAATTTAACTTATCCTCTAGAATATTTCTAGGCACACAAAACTCTCTTAACTTTTGCTCCTATTACCTTAACTCTACTTTTACCATTTGCTTCCAGGACACCACCCACTTGAGCTGGCTGAATGCTTTTTGTCATTTATTCTTTACAACGATTTTATGATAGATATTTTACATATACCAGTTTTTGGAGATTGCTGTGCAAAAGGTATACAACTTGCTAGAGTTTGTAAGCTGGTCTGTCTTATAATGACTGAATTTCTTTAGTACATTATCTGATCTTTAAGAACATATGTGTTAAAGTGATGTTAACAAATGGCTGTAAATGTTGAGATGATATGAAACTTTCACATTTTTATCTGTTCAATTTTGTTGCTTTTTTCACTGTATTTGATGTTGGTGCCCTGTCTCTTGTACAGACACTTCTCCAATTTGGGGAGGGGAAGAGAAAAAACAAAATGCTTAAATAAGGGGACAAGTTGACCCATTGTAACAATCAGATGTACAAAACACTATATTTCAGTTTTTCTTTGCTATGG